TGCTTCCGCTCTCAGACCCTGCACATCTCTAGCAGAGATGCCTTCTTCCCGGCTCTCAGAGGCCGACAAATTCGAGCCGAACTCGAAAACGGCCTTCCCCGCCTTATCCGCCTTTTCAGGCTTCTTCCGAAAAGCGCGCGCCTCAAGCGCGCGCTCAAACTCCCGCTCTCTGGCCTCAGCCTCCATATTGCGCAATTGTGCGCGCGCACGGGTCAAGACCGTCCCCCTCCCAGATCCAATGGGCCTCCCCCTTCGCGCCTTATTTTCCTTCGCGCGTACTCGCTCGTCGGTCTCCGTTTCCGAGCCTGTAGAGCCCGCTAACGGAGGACGCGCAGCCGTTCTCTTGCGCCCAATGGACGCATCTGTGTCCGCGCTGGCGTCTGAGTCAGCCATGACTCATTCGCCAACCGCACACACTCGCACACACACAAACGACGCGACAAATGTCGCCAAAAACAACAAAAATCCAAACCAAATCAAAAAATCCAAAAATCCGTGAGAAAAGCCAAAAGTCAAAACATGTAGTGCAAGAATCGAAGTCCAATAGTCAAAGCCAATCAAAAAACAATCCAAAACACTCGAAAAACCCCCACTGGAATACCACCACGGATTTCCAAGCCCTGCTTGTTGGTAGTACAAAGGTCTTTAGTAAGGTAAAGCTTGTCTATAGTAAAAAGTTTTTTAATTCCACATTCTTGGACAGCGTCACCTTTCTAAAAGCTTTAAACGTATGGGTATACGCGTTAATAAAAATAAGTATCCTATTCCCATAACAAGATCTATTTGAGTGCTAGTCATTGCCAAATCTGTCCAATGAATGGCTTACTCATTCTAACAAACATCCAAAAATTTATATTTTTTTTATTCTTTACATTTCTTTATTTTATATATTTTGCAAACGTCCACATGTTATTTTTAACTAGTGACTAAGTTACGGTATAAATATATAGAAATAGTTATTGCGAGTGTGTTAAAGCCAGTGTTAGTCATATTTTCTAAGGACAGAACCAGTTATTTTCTTTTCCTATTGGAACGAAAGATTTTCCTGTAGTTAAAGACATCCTAAATGTCAACCCGAATAATAAGTTATCACTAAATAGATAAACAGATAAAGATATATCTATGTACATACAAACAGATATTTTTTTTAATAACAATTGTTTTGGTGTCTGTATTCTATACACAATGAGTTTTTTTGTTTTAAAAAAAAATATTTCATGTACATTATTTTAGCTTATCGTTGTTACTATTTTATTGAATGTATAGGTAATTAGAATATAATTTAATTTATAGGATCGATTCGGAATATACTTACCAAGTGAAAAGATATTCAGTACTCGCAACGTGACAGTCACGCCAGCTATTTCAAGATCCAGCGAAGAAAATGAACCTCTAAAGAGCCTTTAAAAAAAGTCATTAAACTTTTGTTTTGTGGTGCTTTTGTAAACTTTTTTACGTGTTACAAGTGTTTTGTTTAACAATCGCAATATATTAGTATCAAAATTTAAATGAGTATAAAATTGAAACGTTAAAGTGTAATAGATATGTTTCAATTTTTCTGATCAAAGAAAACTATAGTGAATCAAACAACAAAGGGAAGCCAATCATATGGGTCGGCTTTTTGCGTACCTGTGTACCAACAAAATATGATGCGAGCTTTACGCTTCCTAGATTTTTCAACAAAGGCCTATGAGCGTTCGGACATCTGTTGTAAGCTATTTATTATTTTAGAAACATTTCAGAGAAAAGTAAATTCTGTTCTTTTTTTAAATTAAGTGGTGAATTATTTTACAAATGTTCAAAATCGTTTTTGTATGATATAATATGACTTTTAGACATAAATAATTTACATTTTACCACTAGGACCTGGGCGAAGAGATACCTTCGGGAAAGAAATTAATATTGCATTTTTTCAGAAAAGACTAGACTACCTATACAGAAAAACTTAAATAGCAAAATCTTGTCTAAATACAAAATTTGATACAAATCGTTAGAGCGGTTTCCGAGATACACGAAATAAATGAATATTTATACAAGAATTGCTCGTTTAATATTGTAAGCTAAACTGTAACAATTGGCTGAACCTATTGATACAGTAACTGTACGACTAATATTATTTTTATTAGTCTGGCTATTGATTATTAATAAAATTATTAATATTTATAAGAAAAAAATATTGTTTCTCTTAACAATGCAGATAAAAGAAACAGTATGGGTAATGAATTTGACGACACGTTTGACTCAGTTTGTAGTGACCCTACTTGCTCTGCCAGCGGTCGCGGGTTCGAGTCCCGCTGGGGGCATTCATTTGTGTGTTGAGCATGAATGTTTGTACTCCAGTCATGGGTGTTTATATTTATAATATGTATGTATTTAAAGTTATATATGTGTAGTGTATCAACTATCTGGTATCCATAACACAAGCCTCGTAGCTTACCGTGGAACTACATAGATGGTGTTGTGTGTTGATGTCTCAATATATTTATTTATTATTTATTATAATTACAAATCTAAGACCACCATCTCTAATTTAGAACTTTCAAAGGAGACGCAAAATATATATATTTATCTTATCCCCATTATTTCAAAAATTAGAGCGTGCTGTCAAAAAAATCATTTGACACTTTCAATTCTTTTGATACTGTCCGACACCTATAATTTTCGTGGCCAAACTCACCAAATCTTAAATAACGTAAAGCAATTATGATATTTGAAGTTCTGGTTTGAAATAAAAAGAAGACCTAACGAGAAGACGTAGCGTAGCTACCGCCTTATCCTTCTCCTTAGGTTCTCAACCTACGTTATGTTATATATAATCGAAGATTAAAACTTACGAATAAGTAATCTTTTATCCAGATGACCTAAATTTAAAAAAAAAAACAATAAAGTAGCTGAAATATATAATATATTAAAAAATATCTGAAAATATATATTAGTCGTAGAGTGACTGGATTAATAGTCACTTCCGTAACAATTGTTAATAAAATAGAGAATAAACTTTTCATGAACATGACCATTAACTGTACTTACTTTGGCCTGTACAGTTAAATTAAACAAGTAAGTGTAAATGAACAGTGTTCGAAAGCCAGAGGTGTACACATAAAAAAAAGCAAGGTCTTACAAGACCTTGCTTTTTTTATGTGTACAGCTTTATTTGAGCTGTAGCACAAATAAAAGAAAAATCCAAAATATAAAAAAAGTTGAAAATTAAAGTTAAACAGATTTCCTACAAATTTGTACGAAACCCTCGGTGGGCGCGTCCGACTCGCACTTGTCCGTTATTTAAAAAAAATATTACTAAGCTAAAAACTACTAAATAAAATTAAATGTACATTTTTTACCAGTAGTTTGTTACTATATATAGACATTTCAAATTCCAAAATCCAAATCCAAAATTTTTCACCCCACATATTTTACAGGGGGGTTCTTATAATTTATAAACAAACAAACATAAGTACCTATATACACGATTCCAAAGCACAGTACAGGGCTCTAATAGAATTCGTAAATCCCGAGTACTTAATGCAACACACCATAATAACCGCTGTTACTACTTTAATAAATCCTAGTAATATTGTGTAATAATAAAAGAAATAACACATTTTTCATTCATTGAATTAGTATATTATGTATGCACAAGCTTAAAGTAAGAATATAATAATAAAACATCGTCAGCAAAGAATTTTATTAAAAAATCGTTAACGATACTACCAATAGACACCCCCGGGCTATTAAGGTTTGTTAACGAAAATACTTTAATGTTAAATAGTAAATAGTGATGTTTTAATGTAGTACAATATACTATACTATACAATACTATACAATATCTTGTAATGATATATTATAACATTACTAAGAACTATTGAGTATACATACTCGTATAATAATAATAATAATTTATAGATCTATAGAGACAGAGTTCGTCGACTTCGGACCCGTGGTTGCACTGTTTTGTTACACTGGTGTAACCACTGAGCATATGTATATGACCGATGGTTACACTACGAATAGGATCTATTATCTATGTGTATATAAAAAGTGTCTACTCTGGTGTAACATCTATGACCAACAGTTATACTTAGAAAACGATAGCTTTTGATTATTATTGGGTTAGTCATTGAAATTAAGTTCATTTATACATTTTTCATTTCAAATTTGGATTCTTATAAAGCATTTGTGGTTCTAAAAGTTTTCTAATACATAATAAAAAACTAAATAACTTGGCATCCCTAATTTATTTCTAGATAAGTTACTGAGTTTCAAAAAAAACAATGTTAATAAATAAGAGTACTTTATTAATCGTAATTAGCGAATCAAAAAACTGAGAATTTGAAGAAAAAGAAGAAATCTAACAACGGGCATATAGCCCAATCGGAATCCGTTTATTTTTAAGAGAAAAAAATATATTGAAAACCTGAAGTTTTATGATTTTGAAATGTTAGCAGGTATATAAGAAATAGAAATTCGTAAAATGCCCCCGATGCCCTGCTACCTCCAAATAATGGGGGGACGCAAAGCGTTGAAAATACCTGGCTAACATTATAAAATCATAAATAAAACTTCAAGTTTTTAATATTTTGTTACCAAACCGGATTCCGATTGGACTAATATCTTAAATAATAAACAAGCTTATTAATGTATTGACAAAATTAAATATCTCCTCACTCTTTATGCTTAAGCTATTATGTTGGAAGAAAGTTTTATTCAGTATGTAGATAATGTGCAACATACTATTCAGTACTGTCACCGTAATACAAATCTCTATTTTGTGTCAATAATAAACATTGCACCTGCTACACATTGTAATATTAAATTGTCAGTAAACAATTACAAAATCATAGAACGAAACTGCGTTAACTGCGGTAACTCTTCGTAATAAAAAAAATTAAATGCCTTATAAATATATTAAGGCCTCGCAATAAAAGAAATCTCTCTAAGTCACGTTAATAATGTAGTAATAAAATAATGGCTTCATAGATAACTATAATTATTATGTTTTAGTATGTAGTTGCTTTCTTCTTGCACATTGCCTCCGATTTGTCATCTTTACCCTGTCCAGAAAAGATTGTTTGGAAACTAAAAGGTTTGAATGGGTATCCCGCACCGATGTAAAATTTACTCATAAATTCCACCCTGAAATTTTTATAAATCATAATATATTCATGTAATAATTATTATGACACGATCTATTTGATTTTGAAGGTCACGGCGGCCAATCTCACTGAGACAGAGATGTACAAGAGATATTATAGAGCACAAATAATCAACGGAGGTAGTATTTGCGCATCTAATTTGTGAGTAAGTACTAGGCGACAGTTCGATATAGCGAAGTTCCCGAGAATTTCATAACAAAAAAAAAAACAAAGATTGTAACAGGCCCAGGCTCCGAAACCGGGGCTTCCGGACATGCAGCTTAAATCTTATAATAAATTCATATTGGAATCAAAGTTATATATTTGATTATGTATGTTTGTAATATTTGTAATGATTTTAATAAGAGTTAGTTAAATCAGTCCTTTTTGCATTTTTTACAACTGAACACACAAACAATCTTTCACAAATACCTAAATGTATTACAACAGTCTTTATCCATACTAAAAACATACCTTAGTTTCATTTCAGTTTTGTATATTTAACGCTATAGCAAATTCTGACTAGAACTAATCTATAGATATCAATTTAAAAAATACAAACATGAACCATAGGTAGAAAAACTAATGACTAAAATGAAAGAGTTATTTGAAATGTGCTAAAGGGATTTTTTTAAATTAAATAATATTCAGCAACAGAAGCAAAGCTAATGTTTTTATATAATACAACTACTACTTATAGCCGAACATTTGCAAACATACATCAACAGCGTGCATGAACTAAAGGTTGTACAAATTAACTAAGCTAACAAATTATAATATTGTAGCTAGGATGTTTTCAAACTAAGTAATAAACTCTTCATGAAATTTAGTATACAAGGGGTTTTGGGGGCGATAAATCGATCTAGATTAGTTTTATGTCTGGGGAAACGCGTGTTTTCGATTTTTCATGCAGTTTTCTTTTGTATTATTCCACGCAAAATATGGTCGGTAATTTGCACGCTTGGGCATAAGTATCGTGGTCGGCTAAGGTGCAAGTTCCAAGATGGTCAAGGTTCGAATCTCGGTTGCATACAAAGTTTTTTTGTTTTTTTTTTTAATATTTATTCAAGTTTTTAGTTAAAAAAATTCTACTTTAGGCCAAAAACACCGAGCAAGGCTCGGTAGCCCAGGTACTAATACTAATCAGTAGATAGCCTTGAATTTGGATTAATATATGATACATATATTAGTATGTACGTATGTATATTCTAAGTTAAAGGAAACGATTAGGAGAACTACTTGGATATACCAATTTGTACAATATATAATTTTTGTTCAAAAGAATTTATTTATTCAGAAATTATTTTAATCAGAAATTAAGCTTTTAAATCTTAATTTCTGATTAAAATAATTCTGGCATTCAGGTCAGATTTCATTTATCTTTATTTACATAAATTATACATATAAGGTTAAGCTCATCACTAGATCAAATAGGTAATATCTATAACAACAGTCTACTGTAACGAATATTATTATTGACTATATTGTAAATGTTTACCATTAATTAATTAACTAATTTAAGAGATAGTGTGAAATCACCACTTAACGTGTCTCTCTCAGTGCCTCAATATAAATAGAAAGAAGATGAAACGGTAGGATTTAACCTCAGGTCTAAACTTGGAGGTAAGTAGAGACCTGAAATTAAACCTACCAACCTACCGATGGTAGGTCGGTTATTGTCACTGTGCGCAAATTAAAATGAAAAAATATATATATTTACCAATGCAATCGCAAGGTGTGTAAGAACGCTGACAATCCCTCCATAACCACTAATATTGAAAGACTGAATACAGCCCAAACAGCGAATATAAGAAATATCTTTGGTCCTCCCATCATAGATGTTTCTCGTAGGCCAAGTTTCGCAAATACCATCACCCATAACATTTCAGATAGTTCTATAATCAATATAAGACAAAAGTATTGAAAATGATTGATTAGTTTTAGTGCTTACTGCTTACTTCTACTTCGAATATGAGGAGGTACTCTATTCATGTGTAATTAATGCAATCTCTTTTTGTTATACATAAAGCAAATTATGGTATGTTTTTTAAATAGATAACACCTCAATAGTTTCACATAAATACATTTCAAGATAAAATCTCGCCAGTATGGCGGGAAATTTAATTTTTGACATTGAAGTCTGTGTGTATCTTAAAGTTAATAAGCAAATACAGATTCCATTTACTTGAAAAAAAAAACTATAAACTATAATATATAATTGCTCAGAGCCTGCATATTTGGAGCAAAAGAGTAATAAAGTGTGATTAATCTCTCATTTTTATGTATTCAATAACATTAATTTCTCAATTAGATGTATTCAAGAATTGTTTCGATATTTACAGGTCACTTATCGAAATGTAAAATTAGATCGTGTACTCAGAGAGGTAATATTTTGTTCAAGTAGTTTTATTGGAGCACATAAATATCGGTATGGAATGTAAATTGAGTTTGTTATCGACTACTACCGACCATGCTTTGGAATAATCTAAACAAATATGTTTAAATAACGTGTGCATATTTTAAAAATATGCATATTTATATTAATTTAATAATTGCATTAATAATTATTATTATGATCTCCTGACCAAAATCGGCAACAGCGGCTAGCCTTCACTGAGCCCTTGCCGACTGCGCAGGAGATAATATATCTTGTGCCATATAATTATTAAAGTATACGCAAGGTGTTAGACCTTACGCTTGCCTCGCTTGGTGCCTCCCTAGATACGTTTTATAATATAGATAAAAGATAAATAGTTATTGCGAGTGTCCCTTTTCTGCCTTTTTAAGACCTACAATTTTCTAATTATTTTGATGTATATCTAAAGGTTTAGTCAGCGTTTGCCATGTAATAATAAGTACAAAAACTGTTTTTTTGACAAAACACCGTCTAGGCTGTCATCATTGCACAAATCTTTTACAAATTATACGTTCATAAGCCTTCTTTGTTTATCGTTTCTTTTTATAAGTAAAAGTAAATTTATAAGTAAAGTATCAAATTTCTCTGCATGGTGTAGAAGAAGTAAGCAGATAAACAGACAGACTCAGACATCGATTTTGTTTAATACTATTTATGTATAGATAAGTATGCGAGCAAACATAAATGTACTCTGTAATTATATACGACCGGAGAGATCAGGTGCAGGACAGACAGCTTTAAATGCTGTATTTAAATTGCATAATTGCCTTATTTAAGTACTTATGATAAAACTAGCAATGCCCGCGGCTACGCTCGCGTTCAAATGACCAAAAACGCAATTCTTAGGTTTTACATGTAAGTATACTCTTACATTGCAATTTTTGTATTTTTTCTCAGAAATGAGACATTTTCCCGCGGTAAAAAGTATCCAATATGTTGACCCGGATAACCAGCTATCACCTTACCAAACTTTATCAAAATCCCTCCAGTGGTTTTTCTGTGATGCGGTAACAGACAGACAAAAAATTCTAAAAACTATAGATTCGGCTTCTGTATCGATAATAATGTTTATTTCAACAAGATTTTCCAAAAAATATCTAATGTACAGATTCGGCTTAGTTACAACTTACAATTTTATTATATGTATACATGAAAGAACAAGTGTATACTCACGTTCATGTGCTAATGACAATGCCCACAGACGAAGATAAGAAGCAGTATGTGATATGGTACTCAGAACAAACTCTATAGTGTGAACAGCTTGATGTATCATCAATTCACCAAATGTTGTGTTGTATTTCGCGACTTCTGCCAACATCTTCTCTTCAGCTCTTCTATTTTCAGAATCTTTTCGCTGATATCTTCGAAATTGGCTTACTTTTTTCTAAAATAAACATGATCTATACAAATATTTCTTATTTATGTAAGAATAATTAATAAAAATTATCATTTTTTGACATTTTGCCACTTCAAATTTCAATTACAATTAATATTAACAGATTTTTACTTGCTTAAAGTGGTATAGGCTACAAGGGTTCCCATAGAACAGCAGATAAAATTTTCTATACATTTCGTCAGCGTCATTCATCACGTCGATTGTGTGGAAACTGACAAATGAGCCTATTCCTTATTTAATTATTTTAAAATGCCTTAAACGAAATCCAAATGATATCCGTATTAGTATGGAGAAAGGAAGTTATCATAAATTCATTTAGAAATTCTCTTCATCTGCTTTATGATACTGAAGTGTATGTAAAAAATAATATCTACAGAAGGATTTTAATAAGTTTTTGGTTATATAAACTCTTACCAATGCCTCTTCTTTTTTTTTCTTATACGATCTGTGTAGATATACTGGAGACCCGAATAAAAGTATTGGGACACAAATGACTGCAATGACAACTAGCATACGCTGGAACCTCTCTTGGCCGCTAAACATATAAGCTTCGCAGTCTTCTTCTACAGGCTTAGTAGTAGACAGCAATACCATATCGATGAATAAAATCAAAATCAACGGCGAACAACCCGCACCTCGCGTCACTTCAACTGGGAAAGTTATCAAATAATATGTATAATACTATATTACCCTTCAAATTATAAATTATGAATGTTTTATCTTAGTATACAAGATGTCAATACCAACTGTAGATATAATTTGAAGATTAATATTCTCCTGGAAAATATTTCTGCAGGAAAATGAGAAAAACTCTGTTATCTAGACACATTTCCGCCAAAGGGACGTCAGAGATCAAAGCCCGTAATTTTGTTATGCTTTATAAAGTGACTTTATAGAAGTAAACTTGAATTATATACCTACATGTATATTTAATAATATTATTGGAATTATACAATATATTAAAGTAGCTACATACAAATCAGTTGCAGGTTCAAACGAATGTACATAATCCGTTTTAAGAAATTATTAGTATTCTTAAATAACGTGATTGCAAAAAATCTTTTTATATAATATTATTCTTGTAAATTACAACGAATCCATTTCTATTCCTAATAAAAATTCTTATTAAAGTTAACGTTTCAACATATTACATGAAAATTAGGTAAATTCAAAGTCAAAAATCTTTTTTTCATAAATGCGAATAAGGTTTTTATTATGATATTTCGATTATAAGCTGACTCCTTAAAATAAATCGTTTGTTTATACTATACATAAAATTACAATTTATCTTCACATTCATTTCATAGATATTTTTGAGGTAATCATTTTGTCATTTAACTCTGTACTATGCATATTAGATTTATCTTTTTTGAAGTTAAGCAAAACTTATATGGCCCTAATAAGAGCTAATGTAATGTCCACTTAAGCCAATAGTCCTTACCACTTAAGTATAATATTAAGTTTTAGAAATACTTAAAAAGTACCTACCATATTTTCCACTGAACATGAACCATTTCATGTATATAAGTACGACCAGCCACATAAAAAGGCATGACAGAAATAGTACTTGAGGTATAAATTGCAAATATATCGCGTGATAATTTTTAAAATATCTGCAATGAAAAACATTTACTGTATAAAAGCCCTCAAAGTTGATACGATTTTTATGCGATGCAATAAATCTTTTTATTTAAATCACAGCAAGGGTGTGTTTAATGTTTATAACATATTAAAAATGTTTACATTTTATAAATATAAAACCTGAGAACTAAAATTTTCTGATAACAAACGTTACTGGTGGTTATAATTACAATGGTGACTATAAGAATAATTTGTCATTAATGCCATACTGATACAGGCCGTCTGATCGCAAAGGAGTCCGTAGTAAGATCGTGTCAAGTGCATAGTAAATGTCAAGGTGCATTCAGACTCAACGTACAAAAGACATATGAAATAGAGTTAGATATTACTTCACGCTTAACAGTCAAAGGAGCACGACAGATTTAACAAATGATGTAGAATACTAAAGGAGTATCAATATTAGTATGTCATTTCTTAAGCTAAATTATTAACTTGAAATTATCAACTTATTAATAATAAAAGGTTGTACTAGCGCGGTGTTATCCGAAAATCCCTAAACTTATAGATAAATAAAAGAGCTTAGCTAATAATTTCATGTAATTTAATTTTAATGGCTCGATCATTTAGGCATTTGTCACGAATGGAAATCAAATCCTTGAACTCCTTTCCTTCTAATTTGTCTATTACTAATTTGCACGAATAAAATATGTATGTGCACGGGATTCCCTTCAGTACGAGGGGAAGCAGGCCATAGTCCACCACCACGCTGACCAACTGCGCGTTGGCGGACTTCACATGCCATTTGAAAACTTGCTAGGTTCTCTCAGATATGTAGGTTTCCTCACGATGTTTTCCTTTACCATTAAGACAAGTGGTAATCATGTTGGATATGATTCGCACATGAAAATATCAGAGGTGCGAGACCCGAGATTTAAACTCGCTTCACTCGGTATCCCAAGCGAGCGCGTTACAACTGGGCTACCACTGTCTAATAAAATAAACATATATTTAATAACCTTAGACGTTCTCTTTTCAGAAGTCACGCTAGAAAACACTTTTATCAAGAATATCCTTTATAAATATTATAAATGTAAAAGTATGGTTGTTTGGCGAATGACATGAGTTTGGAGAATGACATGGGCTACTTTTTATTGCGGGAAGTCATCTCAATTCCACGGGAAAACACGCTATAATACAACCCACAGCAAATCATCAAACCTATTTTCATTTATAATTAATATATAGTAGGTATATCTATTCCATACTAACCGTCAAAACGTACCTAGGCATGAACCCGAGCAGAGCGCGGGTTAATCGCTAGTTTCTTAATAAAAGTGTTTTCCAGTTTATTCTCCTGTCCTTTGTAAGCACGGCTTCACGCTTGTAACACGCGCTCAATAGCCACAGCGGTGTTTTGGACGTCCGCGTTGTGTCATGTTTTTTTTTCAATGTCGAGTGCCGGCGGTGAACAGTGAGGGTAGCAAGTACCCGTGAGTACTTCATAAAAAAACGGACAAGAAAGATATGCGGGTGTAAAATTCAGCGTAAATAAATTATTGGCAGGCTTCATGTCTAACTTTCACCGAGTATTTCGCATCCTCAGACTTAAAGAATTATATTATGTAGGTATATTACTGAGTCCGCCAAAAAAAACCAAAAGTCAAAACTAGTAGCATGATTTTCTGTTTATACTCGTACTACTATACTCGATTTTGTCATACAGATCATTTACTTTATTCCCATAATAAGGCTTTATATATTGTAGGTATTAGTCGTTAATTTACAGACTTGTGAGAAGAAAATATGAATTATTAAAAAAATACTATATTCTTTTGTATGTATTTTTAAACATCCTCTTCTCTCTCTCTCTTCCTCTTGAAATAGAGATAGCATAATATTATTATTTATGTGTTTTTTTCTTTATTATAATAAAATATGTCAGGTATTCATTTATTAACATTTATTTACTTGTAATCTAGTAATGTATTCTATTAATATTTGAATTCTGTTGAACAATGGAATAGAAGGACATAGTGAAAATTATATTTACCTATTGTTTACCTTTGAACTAATATTTGTGTTGTTAATAGTTATGTCAAAGATATTAATAATGTTATTAAGGTAACGCTATATTATCATGGCATGCACATTGTACCTATGTCTCTATAGTACCTTCTAACCTAACCTTTCATTTTTTAAGGTTCCGGAGATATACGTCGAATAAATAATCTGCACATCTACAAATCACAACTTTTTTACTCAGAAACTATTGTCACTATATTACTAAGGTAGCTAGATGATAACTATCTACAAATTCAATACTATAAATTGTAAATAATTAATAATATTACGTGTGATTAAAGAGACTTAAAAATAAACCAAACATCATGTGAACAATCCCAATAATTATTGACATCTTCATCTTCAAAGAATTTAGGTACATAATTTTGTTTTTAGCTAGCTGTGAAATACAACATTTGATATATAATTTTAACTAATTATTTCGTACAACAGAAATTATTTTCAATAAAAATTATAAAATGTAGCAAAGTAGTTAACAATGCTAATTTACGTTTAGTAAAAAAATGTGTAATCAAACAATTTTGTAACAAGCAGTAACAATAAAATAATTTTTATTACCGCCCAAATTGGATCCACGCCAAATATATAAGGGGGATTAGTCTCAAAAACTGGATTTAACGTTATATATTGAGAACCTTCTACTTCCTGTTGCTCAAACGTATTCTTCCAATATGGTTGTACGAGCACAATGGACTTTGAGAAGAACACATTGTATAAGAACCCCGTATAAAGCGTAAATAGTCCCATCATAAGGATTACATAACGACCTAGAACAAAACATGTACCATAATAAAAGTATTGCTCCATCTCAAGGTTTTTCTTAGAATATTATAAAATAAAAATATTATTTTACACAGTATATAATACAATTTTGATAAAGCAACCATACTAACCAAACAAATTACTTATTTTTATTGGTTATTTGAATAACAACCGCAAAAAATATATCTATTAATCTTAAGTATTCATAAAAAATAAGTCACTGGAATCTATTCTGTCAAGTAAGATTACTGATTGTGGACTACATTATTTTCGAACCGAAACCGTTACAAACAGACAAACATTTCAATGATTTATATATGTACATTACTAGCCAAACTGATTTTGGTGATATATGTTAAGAGACACGTATGTTGCTACATATTATTGTGTTCATGTTTTCGCTCTCAAGACCAAAATATAAACAATTATATAGATAAGTGTTCGCCCAGTAGTCGAAATTCATTATCTATATTTTTTTTTAATTTATTTATAACCTAAAGCTCGTAAATACTAACTGAACAAAAAAAGAAATTCGGTTGACAAACAAAGGAAAAAAAGGTACTGAACTATTTTGTCTTTGGTTATCTATATATAGATAACCCGCAAGCCGAACGTACGTTGATTGTACTATTTCTAGAAATATTCACAAGCATACACACAGTAGCGGACTGAAGTTATCCTAATCGGATGAATAAAATGAAAAATCTCAAAGTATATGGGTTCGGTATCAAAAATGTAATATTAATATAATAATTTGTTAAAATGTTATCAAAATCATTCAAATGATATAGGGATACATATAAATAAATCTACAAAAATATACAAGCATATAGTAAATAATATAAATATAACATATAAACGACTAAAATGGAATAAAATAAGTCATTTACACAAATATGTATATCAAAACATTATTTGAACGACGGAGAATATATTAATTTTATCATTACCACCAAAGAAAATATTCCAGATTTCATTTTTCGACGTTTTATCCATGTTATCCTTTTCCACTGATACCATCCAACCCGCAAATGCTAATAATATAACACCGTGGCATACGTCACCGAACATCAAGGCAAATAAAAATGGAAAAGTTATTATCGTATATAGACCTGGAATAACAAAATTTAAGTCACTTTTCGTAAGTAGAATATTTTCTTTCAAAATACATTATTAGCATACATTTTATTATAATAGGAATTAATTATATTCGAGCAGCAGATACCTACAGAATAACCAAATGTACTAGTGAGCTCGCTGGCTTTGTTGCGGTTGTCTTAGTTTAAATTAAACATTTATTATTATTAATTAAAATAATTAAAATACAATCAAAATCACCGATATCTTTTAAAAGTATGAAATTAAATTGAATGCGAAAAAAGGGTTTCATCAATTTGCCGAAGGCCACAAAACATTTTAAGTTTTGGCTAGATAAATGTTATTTTCCGCATAAACAATTCTATTTAAGAATCTTTTTTATTGGTCAACAACGTCACAAGTAGTCTCAAATTAAAAATAAATTCAGCATATCATCTTATAAAATTAAATAAGCAATTCTTGTATACAGGTTGGACCAAATAGATGGGTCATGGAAGAAGAGTAGGTACCTTAAACAGTAAAGTTATCAAGTTTTACTCAAAGGAAACATTCTATTACTTTAATTTAAAAAATTAAACAAATAATTGTAATGTTTGATATTTGTAAAAGTACTCTATATTTGTAAAATTATGTAAGAGCCTAGCCACCTGGATTTAGCTCTCTGTAGGTTGAGTCGCCGTAAGCGTTAATAAGCGCTTGAAAGCCTTTTGTAAACTTGTTAGTGCGATGAAAAGTGGGTGGCTCGTCCGCGTCGTCGGACTTCAATACGAAAGATTCAACATTTGATTTAGCATTTTCCTAAAAAGAAATCTATATTAACGAAAGCTCACATAGAATATTTCGCAATATGATGTATTTTATATTGACAAAAAATACAAAATCACGTCATCGATGTTATAGTATGTAAACATTAAATTGTAAACACACATGTACGTAAAACATGTTAAAAATGCAGGTATACAAAATGATATTTATATTAGTGATATTTATATATATTATAGTATTAGTGAGATTAAGCGGTCTTGAATCTTTCATTATATAATATATTATACTGTAATATATTTATTATATAATATATAATGGAAGATTCAAGAGTTTTGAATCTCACTAATATTTTATAAATATATATGTTTTTGAACTTACTACAACGCTACACGCTATTACGACAACAGATTGGAATGAAATCTTGGATTGTCACAGCCTACTACGTGGATAAACTCGGAAGGTAAAATTATTTTAATATATTAATTAGGCTAATTTATGCTGATATTACCGACACACGAGCTAACATATCTTCTACTCTGGGTAAATCAAGGTTTGGAACCCAACACTGTCCAATGAGGCATTTTTTTGTTATATCTAAGGTAAACATATTCATTATATGGTAGATTGCTTTTGACTTTTTAATTTGAACCATCCACGTTTCCCATTGCTTGCTAACTGTACGCAGAGCTTTGCATCTATAATATTTCATTTTTCTCATAACCTGTAACATTACTTAATAAATTATACAAAGCCGGCGTAAATTAAAGTGTTGTAGGTAGGGATATAAAATATTTATTAATAATATGCTAGCATACATTCATTTTAACGATTAATATAGAACAGATTATATATATATATATATATATATATATATATATATATATATACAATGTGCGTATACATAGGTATAGAAAAGTATGTAAGTATTTTAAAAAATAAAAAAATCCCTTACTTGAGAAATGATTGATTCCCTACATAAATTTCTACCCTTAAGATGTTTTCCGACACAAAAACTATATGATGTCCTTCCCAGGGTCTGAAACTACCTCCATAACAAATTTCATCTAAATCGATTCAGCGGATTAAGCGTGAATAGGTGACAGACAGAGTTACTTTCGCATTTAATATTAGTATGGATATATGTACATACATATAAAGCTATTTTTTTGTTTCGTACTCGTTTTGCACTGCAACTACCAATCCGTATTTTTAAAAATCCTTCTTGGATATTAAAGTCTGAATAAAGAGTTATGTAACCCGTATGTAAGGAGCGGAGCAATGTACATAAATAGATACACGCGAGCAACTCTAGTTTATAATAATTTATCAGTTTTTTTTTAAAATTGTGTAATAAATACTACCTTACCTGCTTAAACAACGCAACGTATCGCAACATTTTCTTATTATTACTAATATTATTATGCATAATAAAAAACTTTACAACAAAATTGAGATTTATATTTAAAAATAAACCTATGGAGTGTTTTAGTTTCTAGTTAATTCAGCGTCAGAACACATTAAATAGCGATTTTAAAGCTAACTGTAACTAATTAAGGTTTTTATGCATTTATCAATTGTGCTGTCTTTTCTTCCTTGTAGGTCCAAGGTTTATTAAGGATTTAGGTATTCCATTTTCAACCGACTTCTTCAAAAAGGAAGCGGTTCTCAATTCGACTGTATTTTTTTAATGTTTTTTTACCTCAGAACTCCGTCATTTATTAACCGATTTGGACAATTTTTATTTTGTTTGAAAGTGTATACTTTCAGATTGGTCTCATTTAAATTTCAAAAAGAAATACCACCCCCAAGGGTGGAAATGACTTAACCTACTTCTAATTGTCATATTGACTTGAAACTTTGCAAGTGTTTCTATTTTCGTTGATAGTGCAGTGTTCGGTATTGTTGACCTGATCTGATGGTTAAGCCAGAAGGTGGATAGGTGAAACTCTTTAAAGGCTAATAGTTGATACTTTAAGTTTGGGCTTATTTTGTTTGATTTGACAATCCCAATAAGTTAGAATCGGATTTTAGAGCCAGAATGTTCAGTGTTACTAATAAAAGCGAATTTTAGTTTGTCAGTCTTCATATAGAAATTTGCATCAAACTAACTTAAACGGCTTAATCAAATATTTTATTAAAATACTTTCTACTTATTTTGCTACTATGTCTACACTAAAAAGGGAGAAATAAAAACTTTTAAAAATAATACTTTCTTAAATTTACGCGAATATTTGACATTTTAAATAAAACTATCTTTTCGGATTACTTCGCGGATTTATTTTGAATTTTGGTTCCAACGTCGGGAACCAAAAATCAAAATAAATCCGCGAAATAATCCGAAAACATAGTTTTATTTAAAACTTTTTAAAAAATAAATTTAAACCTACTTCAAAAAAATACTAAAAAGTAGAAAAATAACTGATTGATAGTTTTCTTTTCCTCTATGTACATACCTAAACAAATATTTTCGAAGTCGGTGCCAACTGATACAAATCAAAGCACACACACGCAAAGTCGGTTTTATTTTTATTTTTTTAAGTTTTTATTACTATAGTTGTAATAATCTTATTTTATCGCCTATTCTACGTGACATTGGCGAAGTAATCTGTCTCAACTGGCACTCTTTGAAGCCATTAACAAGAAAATTGAATTGAAATCTTATAAGTGCTACATTAATAATATTCAAGTTTAGATACTCTTTTTCTCGTACTTTAACTTAACTCTATAATGAAGAATGAAATTACTTATATAAAAATAACTTAAAATACCACGAGTCTAAACCGTATTTATAAGGTACGAATATCCAGGTCGACCTAAAAAAATTGTATATATTTCATTGCTTAACGAGTGAACATAGAAAAGATTTTAGGACCACTTTTAGTGAATAACTAATTACATGAACTGGAGCTCGCCTTATAAGTTAATGTACAGTTTTAGAATTTACTAGCATTTCCCGCGGCTCCGCCCGCGTTCTGATAACCAAAAACCAAATAAAATAGCGTTATTGTTATTTTTTTTTCAAGATAAGCTATTTTTTATAGTTTTTGCTTTATTTAGTAAGTTACCTTGCTAAAATATAATATATAGTATCATCGTAGTTTTATTCTAACCAGCTTTTGTATTTTTTCTTAGAAATAAGATATTTTCCCGCAGTAAGAAGTATCCTATATGTTGACCCGGATAACCAGCTATGACCATACCAAATTTCATCAAAATCCCTCAAGAAGTTTTTCTGTGATGCGGTAACAGACAGATAGACGGACAGACAAAAATTCTAAAAACTATAGATTCGGCCTCTGTAACGATAATAATGTCTATTTCAATAAGATTTTCCAAAAAAAATTTGATGTACAGATTCGGCTTGGTTACAATTTTATTAGTAGGTATAGTATAGATGTTGCGCTATTGAAAATAGGATCTTTCAAAATAACGCGATGATTCTGCGCTTGTACCTATAAAGAATACGTAATATACAAAAAATACGTAACTAAACTCATTTTTATTAATACTAGCGACTCACCCTCGCTTCGCTCGGGTTCGTCCCTAGCTTGCTTTCCCATACAACTTTCATCCCCATTCTCACCCAAGCTTAACCCCAAAGGGCACCCTTGAAGGATGGTTTCCGGGATAAAAACTATTTTATTCACTCACTTTTGATATCATGAGATTTAAAAAAAACTTATTTTAGTATTTTTTTCTTTTAATTTTCTTCTATACAAAGCTTGTCCTGACAATAACAAACACAAAAAAAAGAATTATCCAATTTAGTGCAGTCGATCCAAAGTTATGTGTGCACATTTCGGTGATTTATTTTTATTTATAAAGATTTAACACATTTTTTTTGATAGAGTAACACAAACAGGAATTAAAAAAGATCGAATTCTTAATTCTTATACAAAGGTAATAATAATACGTCCTGCTCTATTTACGCCTCAAGTGAAACAAAAAAAATCCTATTTTATAGTGAGACAGCTATTATAATTTTAGGTTTTGTTAAATTGCAGAATATGAGATAACATAAGATCGGAACGTCATAATGAAAATGAATTCATTTGTAAAATACCTATATGTCTTTAATAAATATTATTGTTTACCTTTTCTAAGTCGCTAATTCGTAAATCAAGCTGCAGCATCATGTCCATCCTCTCATCAAAAGTTTGGGGGCAAGGATACACGCTAACGTGAAAGCCATTGCACACTTTTTCCAGACGTTCACTCAGCTGTTCTCCGTGACATATTGCTAAAAACGCCACCTTGCGGATATCCTGACCCTATTTTAATTATTATGTATAGATACTCAAAAAACTTATTTAATCGTTCAAAAAATTCCTACAGTCAAATAATATTATAGATTATTTACGTAGAAAAATATGTATTTACTGCATAATAAAGTTAGTGAAGTTTACCTGGAGCATCTTATAATTACTTTATGAAGCGCAGTCCTGACAGTAACAACGTTTTCTCATGCTAATACTATTTCCCTATTAATATACGGTCGTGGTAATGTTAAACGACATTACCGTGATGTGGTGTTCTACGTCCAATGTTAAATCTATTAGCTTTGCTATATTATCTACTTAAAAACAAATGAGTCAAGTCATAACATGAGACAATTAAACCTATGCAATATCTACAGAACAATAACAATGTCTACACATTGTAATAATATTTTAGTAAAAATATTATAAGAGTTTTAGCGATACATGTAATCAAAATCATTATTTAATAAATATTTAAATAGATAAATTATTAAACACTATACATCCTTTACTCTTAAAATAATACAAGCAATAGTAATAATTTTTTTTTGAAAAAAAAAATACTGTATTAAATCTTTCTAACAGTAGCGTGTTTTTTAGTCGTAATACTTAATTCAAAGTGTTAGAGACCTGTCGCTTTGGTAGAATTATATTATTTACGTGAAAAGTTACCGTCTGTGGATCTTGGAGTATAGCGTCTTGTGTTGCTCGTCTGTAATAAATATTTCCACGAGAAACTCTCCACAGCATCATTTCAAAAGGAAAACTCCTACTCCGTTTCACCACTCCAGTTATTACAAATAGACGACCTAAGAATCCTGTATCACCAGCAGCGGCCCCTCTTCAATGAAAGTGGAAAATATCAATTAATTAAATAGTGTATTACGAGTTCGATTTACGTGAAAGAGAGTACTGTATGTTTATACATGTGTGTTTTATTGACAGTTTTTAACTGTTTTTAATATTAATTCTGAATAAATATAAATAACATAAATATAATGTGCCGAACGAGTACTATTGATACATAAACATAAAATATTTTAAATTTATTTTCATTCCAAACGTGCTAACAAAAGTATATATATGTATATAATTTGTTTGCACGTTATGTACATGTATGTACATTCACATTATGTATATGTATATAATTCTTCTTTACGTGTGTTTGTTAACCTACTCCTCCTAAAGGGCTAGACAGATTTGGATGAAATTTTATGTGTATATTTCAATGGGCTCCTGGATGGTTTGAAAATACAATTGAACCCGGTAGGTGGCGCTGCAGTTATTGTGCCACTGATTATCTCCTAAACGGCAGGGATAATTTTAACGAATTTTTTGTGTAGGTTCATGTCGAGATCCCTGCAAGGGTTGAATTTACAAATGGATCCGGCAGGTGGCGCTGCAGTTGGTGTGTCACAAAATTTTCATAAGAGACTTCATTTTCCGAGCAATAAATAAATATAAATTGTTGATTAAATAAAATAAAAATAGATGTATGAATGTATGTTTCCTATGGACTCCAATACAGCTGGAGCGATTTTAATGAAATTTTCGGGTAATCTTCACATTAGCCCAACGGGTGATCCTGTGAATTTTGTTAGCGATCGGAAATTTGCACCCGGGCGAAGCCGCGGGTATTGCCAGTATATTATGAATCCCTAATACCTTCTAATAAATAACTTTAAATATCGCTGTTTTTGATTACAGAACACAAAACAAGCTAAAAACACTCAAGTTTTATTTTCCATAATTGCTTCAACGCTTAAATAATTAGAGTACATAATCTAACTTCACATATTTGTCACCTCATCCCTCATTTGCAGCAATCACGGCGTTTGACATTTAGCAATCAACGTAGTATACGACGAAAATTATTTTGCTTTAATACATTTTAGGGGTCATCCAATAGTGGTTTCTAGATATATTAAAATTTGGTGGATATTGGTTTATCACATTATACCCTATCGTAGAATTACTTCGAGCAACAAATATAATTAATTCAAAACTAAACACAATGGCACCGTACATAATAAACTATGTGCATATATTATACATACATATAAAGCAACGACTATCATACTTTGCAAATAGAGATTCCTCGGTTAATTCAGATTGTCCTAGCATTGGGCCAATGTGATTTATAACATAGTTCATTTCTGTTAACTCCAAATAATTCTTCAGGAGCTGAGTCTGATTTTCTGACATGTTCAATACATCAGATTCCCATTTTTCAAGTACATTCTATAAATAGAAAAGAGTTTTTTTTATTTAAACGACTAGAATAAATTTAATAAGACTGAATATGAAAGTTTCAACAGTTTATTGACATATTGAAACATACACTTGAGAATCTATGTACAATTGAAATATTTACTTACTTCTAGGGCTGTTACTTCATGTAACTGTAATGCTTTCGGTGCTATGCTGTTATATTCAGTTATATTTATGCCATCTTTCAGCATTTCTCCTTCCATATACAGGAGTTTACGTTCCATCTCTGCGCAACGACACAATTCGGTAACGTAATTTCTTTGAAATGGTTTAAGGTCAGGGGTCATCTAAAAATTCAATATACATATTCAATTTTATAAAAATATTTCAATGGCTTCAACGCGACGGAGGCTATAGTACACCACGATAGGCAAGTGGGCGTTGGTGGACTTGACAGTCTTACAAAAGTTACTAAGGTTCTCTTAAACATGTTTCCTCACGATGTTTTTTTTTTCACCGTAATATAATGGGTAATCTTGCTTAAAATGATTAGCGCATGAAAATGTCAGAGGTGTGAACCCAGGTTTAAATCCGCATCACTTGGTTACCCAAGCGAGCGTGTTATAGCATTGAGCTACCACTACCTTTTCAAAGCTTTTGTATTCAGCCCTTTTTAACGTCCCACTGCTGGGCACGGGCCTCCCTTCAATACGATAGGGATCAGGCCATAGTCCACCACGCTGGCCAATTGCGGGTTGGCGGACTTCACATGTCTTTTGAAAACTTGCTAAGTTTTTTCAGACATGCAGGTTTCCTCACGATGTTTTCCTTCACCGTAAGGCAAGTGGTAATCATGCTAGAATTGATTCGCACATGAAAATATCAGAGGTGCGAAACCCAGGATTTGAACCCGCATCACTCGGTTTCCCAAGCGAGCGCGTTACCACTGGGCTACCAATGCCTCTCAAAGCTATTATTCAGCTTTAATTAGAAAAGCTTATAAGCTTTAGTGCATAATTATTTTAGCGTTTATAAAATAATTGCTTCTTAACCTTTTGCAGTTGAAGCTTGGATATATACTTTGCTACACTATTTATTGGTAAAAAATGTAAGAAGAAAGAACTTTCAACTTTATAAAGTAAAAATATATTATTATTATTTTTTTCAATTTTTGTTATTGTGTGTAAAATTGTGCACCACTACAATGGAAACATCGAAATTGCTTTGTCTAGTCTTTTCATACGACCGAACTCAAATGCAAACTCAATACAGGTGGAAAGTGAAATATAGGTACTTGATAAATCAGCCAGATATAAAAATAAAAAAGTACTCGTAGTTACAACAAAACCCTCGACGAACGAACGAAAAGTAAATTTAGGCGTATTTTACGCGCGTTTACTCTGTTAGTGAACGATTTATATGTTGGATGCATGAAGGGAATGCATGATACTGTAAAAATGACATTAGTGTGTTTAAATTAAGAATTTTGTAACGCTCTTTGTGTATAAGCCAGCAGTATCTTTACTAATTGATATAAATTTTAAAGTATGTTGTCTATTGGAATGTAAAAAATAATGGTCTAGTGGATAGGAATGATTTTAACTTCATTAGGCTTACTTTTTATAACAGAAAAAGGAATAATTTCTAAAAGATAAAAGCTTTATGAGAATACCAATAAGAAATTCGAAAGTTCTTTAAGTACTCATACATCATAATATATCTGTGAAGGCTCGACTATCAAGCTATAAATGAACAAAGAGGTCCAACAAAATAGAGGATTAAAGTTTATCTGATAATCGCCTTAGTATATTAAGAGTACTCGTTGAATAACGAGATATTTAATATGACAACATCAAAACAGTTTATTTTATTACAAAAATTGAACGATGAAAAAGCTGCAGATATATAAATTTATGATTTGAAAATATACATGAAACTAACTTACATCTACGAATTGTGTACATCCCATTTCGCCTAAATGATCCACTATTTCAAATGCAGTTTCCGGTTGGAGATACATATCACAAAATGTCATTGGATCACTTCTTAACATGCACCCCATTTTAGATCTATAAATAAAAACCAAATAAATGAAATTATTCAATCCGTAAAATTCTTCTACCGACAGTGAGATTGACAGATTAAATCATTTTTAAATAAAGAATTTAGATTGAAATAGTCAGTTATTTATAAATTCTTAATAATACCAACTAGAAAAAAACGAAATTATAGTGAACCTCATTGTATTTATAGCTAATCACACTTTGTGGCCGTCTAATTCTATTTCATACGCAATCAATCACTAATCATAGGAAACATCGTCATCATCTCCCTGCCCATTTCCCAATCACTTGAGGTCAGCGCAGTAAGTACATCTTCCGTACTGCTGATAGGATTTCGCAATAGGGAACATATAATAGTGCAATAAAAAATTTGGAAAACAAAAACGAAAAATATGTACAGAATACCGACCCCAAAACCATAGTTATTGAAATTTTTGTCTGTTTTTCTGTATGTCTATTCATTTGTCTGATAATTTAATTTTAACTAAAGTGTAGAGATACATATTTTATTACCCGGCTCAACATTTAGCATACTTTTTACTACAGGAAAATCTCTCATTACCACGTGAAAACACAATAACTGGTTCGGCCGAGTTGTGCTTCATATAAAAACTTAAAAAAAAAACGATTTCCAGGCACTAAAATGTAAATAATAACTAAACAGGGGTTTCCATTTATAATATATACCTATATGATATTTTTAGTTTGTATTTGTCCATTTTTAGTGTAGACGTAATAAGCAGGTAATTTGTTAGAAGAAAGTTTTTTAATAACATGTTCGATTAAGCAATTTATTTAAAAAATAATTCATTTGTTGATTTTAAAAAATTGACCAATTTCGATAAAAATTATATGGGACCACCTGGAAAGTATACCCTAAAAAATATTCCAAATCGGTTCAGGCGTTTTCGAGTAATCGGTGAACATACATAAAAAAAAAGATTTCGACGAATTGAGAACCTCCTCCTTTTTGGAAGTCGGTTAACAAAACTGTCAATAATTTATCACATGTATACATATTTTGTTATATTATGTATGTTAACACAATTTTTTTATCGCTTCTTTCCAGGTAGTTGAAATCAACTCAGTTCTATTTCAAAATGTTAGTTCTTAAGTTGAGAAAATTTAGCAGCGTCGTTTAATTAAACCAACCCCTATTATACGAACCTTTTTTGTATCTTTAAACGTAAATCAACAAAGCTTTCGTTGGCACAGGGTCGATTTTTCGTCTAACTCAACGTTCTTGTGTTATTCTTGATCCCTCGGGGACCTGAGCCAGCCGAATAATTTACTGTTACACAACTAAACTTTTGAGGTGGGCTCAGTCCTCCCAGGGGTTACCTATTTTCTGATCACACGCCATACGTAATTGCGAATAATAAAAATAACATACTCTTAGCTTATTTAATATAAGTTATTTAAAATTTAAACTACAATTTTAAAAAAAGGTGATAACTTCAAATCAATTTATTAATAGAATAAAGTACGTAAAACTATTCAATATATTAGAGAACTAGCTTTAATTTTTACCTATTATGTGGCGATGCTTACTATGTTCGAAATACTCTAAATAAAGTAAAAGTTTTCGCATGATAACAAAACTTTCATATAAATTTCCTTTACTTCAATAATTTCTCTCATTAAATATCTCATACATTTAATTCTCCCACGTTACTAGTGCCCCGGACGTGTAAGCGTCACGGATTAATTGAAATAGCAAACTACTGGATACTTACTACATCTATTATATTGTACATGTATTCACAGAATACATTATTAATTATTATAAATATAAAATGGCTTGTAAATTATTAAAGCTTTTTAGGTAGTTAAGAGTTACTTTAAATATGGTGGAGTCTCAGGAATATATTACACGTTGCATTTTTTATATACCTACCTATTAAATATCCCTATAAATTACCTACTGGTTATTCAATTTAATTCTCAATTTTACATTCAATCCATCAAGTCAATTTGGTAAGATTAAAGTAATTTGCTGCAACTTCCGTCGGCGATGCAAGCTGGAAAGCAATTCTAGGAAAACTATGTTTAAAAAATCGCGTTAATCTTCCGCTTCTAAAGAAAATATTGGATTTCCTTAAGCGTTAAGCCATTTTATGTTCACTTATAATTGTCTGATACTTATGATGACTTAACATTATGGGCTGCCCTTAGCTCATAATATCTGGTAACAATAATAGATGTCACGAGAACTAGGGTACCTCAAAAAACGTCCATCATTACATAGTATAAAATTAAGTCGCTACCGCTGTCTATTCGCTTAGATCTTTTAAACTACTCAAAGGTTCTTAATGCAGTTCTCAGCAATAGGTACATAGACTGATTCAAGAGGAAGGTTTATATGTATAAAACATGCATATTATAGTATAACTAGTGCTGCCCGCGGCTCTGCCTGCGTTCAGATGACCAAAAACCAAATTCTTAGGTTTTACATATTAGTATACTCTTACATTGCAGTTTTTGTATTTTTTCTCAGAAATAAGATATTTTCACGCGGTAAGGTTTTCCAAAAAATATTCAATGTACAGATTCGGCTTAGTTACAGTTTTATTATATGTATAGACAAATAATTCGAGATATCAAAGATTTGTATTTCATACTAATCGTTAAAACGTACCTACCCAGGGACGAACCTGAGCGAAGCGAGGGTGAGTCGCTAGTTATATACATATGTATGTAGGGCCCGTCATAAGACTGCATACGTAGTACTTACTACATACGTATATTACTTAACACTTATAACCGCCTGGTACCTATGATGGCCTCGTATGGGATACTCTTAGCAAATAATAAAAGGTGTAATATTACACTTCACACACGTCGATTAAATAATTAAAATTTTATTTTTATTTTCCAATACAAATTATTGTGAATTGTGAAATAACGTAGGTATAGGTAGTATATTATTAACGGGCCGTAAAGAATAAAGTAACTCTTTCACAAATTTAAGTTTGGCTTCAACTTTTAATATCTCAAGACTGCCTAAAACACGTAAATCGTAAACGGGTTCATTTAATATTATAATTGCTGCGGTGTCCAAATTTGCGCATTTAATGTAGCTTTGAATAAGCCGGAAGCAAGACACGAAAGCGACTTTGAATTAAGCGCTAAGAGTGTTTTAAAATTCAAATAAGTATTTCTACTTAGAATACAATTAAGTTATATATTATACATATTGTGTATTATGTACATATCTGAGGTAACGTCGTAGAAAGGCGGACATTGAAAAAAAAACTATTTTTCAACGCTTTGCGTCCCCCCATTTCTCAGGGATAACTGGGCATTGGGGGCATTTTACAAATTTCTATTCTTTATATACCTTTTTTTTAACGTTGGGAAATGCATTTACGCACGACGTGTGGGACTCACCGGCAAAGCCAGTACTACCCACTAAAACCCAACAAAACCGTCTTAATGAGGCGTCGCAGGATCGCTTACGCATTCAACTACGACGCCCCGACGGCAGGTCTGCCGAAGCAGACCACAACAACCACGGGGTTGCTCCACAGTCCACTCTGCTATCAGAGAAGTACCAGGAGCAACCCGCATGGTACACTGCCCTCCGAAGAGGGCCACCTCCCACCGCCCACCGAAGTGGGCCACCTCCCTGTGCGTTTCTTGGCTTCGCGCCCGGTTGGGTTGCCGGGCACTACTGAGCTCCCCACCACGACAAGGTGAACGCACGTTGGGGGGATTCTTTATATACCTGCTAACATTTTAAAATCACATAACTTCAGATTTTGGATATGGATACCAGATAGTTGATATATGTACATATATACATTTTAATACATACATATTATAAACATAAACACCCACGACTGAAGTACATTCGTGCTCATCATACAAATAAATGCTCCCAGCGGGACTCAAACCCGCAACCGCTGGCACAGCAAGTGCAAACTGAGGCAAACGTGGCAGCACGACTGTCGCGGATAAATTGTTTAGTCGAGCGTATGCGTGTTTCAATACATTGGAATACACATTGAGTTATCGGCCGATAATTCTTCTACTGATTAGTCAAAAAGCGGTTGATGTGGTTTTTTGATTATTTTGTCGAGCTAGATCTAGTTGACGTTCGATGACGAGTGATCATCTACTAGATAAGTTGAAGATATGCGGACTACCATACATTTCCGTATACTTTTAATATACAACTAAACAGTTGTTCGATTAAAAGTTGTATGTATGCTGTAAATCTAAGTATAAATTAATGAGACCAACGCACGTGCCATTTTTTTTGGAGAGAATTAACAATAATTTACCTTCTTGTATTTTTATTTTTGTATTTTTTTTTAATTACTCTTTTACTAACATTCTTACTAACTAAATGTTATATTGTGATTTTATTCTTCTTCGTTGTACAATAATTAAACCTTGTGTTTTTATTTGTTAATTTATCATTCAGTTCTGAGCAATATTATTATTTCAAATCTCTACCCGGTAAATTAGCATAATTTGTACTTACCTATTTATCATTATATTATACTTTTATAAATTAATGTAAAAAACAAATAAACAAGCAAACCAGGGTATATTACATTCTTAAGCAGTTCTGAGATTTTATGATGAAAGTTTTAAACCACTTAGGTTACCGTGATATGATTATACGTAATCGCTCTTACGAATAAATACGTGGTATTTTCATTTGCTCAATTCTCTGGTTGTTGAAGGAATTTAATAGATACAGTAACTATCCTTTTTCTACTTATCATATGCTAGGTAAAAAATTACGGACATGTGCGAGTCGGAATCACCCACACACAGGGTTCCGGACAAAGTAGGAAATCTATTTAACTTAAATTTTCAATTTCTTTTTAATTTTTTTTGCCAAATTTCGTGACTCTAGGTCAACGGGAACTACCATATAGGTTTTCGACCCAAAAGGGTACTTTCTGGTTGACCTAAAATTTTCAATTTTGGTCAAAAGCAAGGTCTTACAGCAAGCAAGAAAAAATTCCGAAAAATAACAAAGTTG